ATAAGCCCCCCCGCCCCCCCCCCCTCCCCCCAATCCGATTTATTCTGGCTTGAGTTTAGGATGCTGTACGCTATGAATTAAAGTAGAAGACATCTGCTTGCAGTGGTGTACGTGCACTGCTTCATCTCCTGTGGCTGTACTGTATCATTTTTTAAATCTGCTGCAGATTAAACTCTATATATTTAGCACACTGTGTTCTGAGATGAAATAGAATAAATGCAAAGAGGAAATCCTTTATGCTTTTTGGCAACAGATAGCCGAGAGGTAATAGCCCAGCCACCACTTCTTATTAGTTTTGAAGACTGCACAGTGATTTCCTCCAGTTAGGCTTTTGTTCTGAGCCTTGGAACACAGGAGAGGTGTGGGTCATTTTGTTTCTGTTTTTGACACTGTTGAACTTTCTTTTGTAACAGGTGATGTCATTGTAGACATAAATGGAAATTGTGTCCTTGGCCATACCCATGCAGATGTTGTCCAGATGTTTCAGCTAGTTCCTGTCAATCAGTATGTGAACATGACTTTGTGTCGTGGTTATCCTCTTCCTGATGACAACGAAGACCCTGTGGTAGATATAGTGACAGCTACACCTATTATCAATGGACCGCCTGTGACCAAAGGAGATGTTTGTGTGACCAGCCAAGATTTAATAGCAGGAACAGTTGTGTTGGACCAGAATGGAAAAATGGGCCCTATGTTGGTCAATGGTCGTCTGAATGGCCCTTCCATGGATACAAATGAGCAGAGGATCTCCATTGCATCTTCAGGAGGCTCTCAGCCAGAGCTAGTCACCATTCCTCTAGTCAAAGGTCCTAAAGGCTTTGGGTTTGCCATTGCAGACAGTCCTACAGGACAGAAGGTGAAAATGATTTTAGACAGCCAGTGGTGCCAGGGCCTTCAGAAAGGGGATGTAATCAAGGAGATTTGCCATCAGAACGTACAGACCTTGACACATCTGCAAGTGGTGGAGGTGCTGAAACAGTTTCCAGTAGGAGCAGAGGTGCCGCTGCTGATCTTAAGAGGAGGTACATATGTAAATTTATAGTTGTCATATATGGTTATATGCTTTTCAAAAGTCCCTTTTTAGTGTGCTATCTAGATCGTGTCCAGTCTTGACAGTTAAGTAGCAGCTTATTATGTCTCTGAGCCATTACATTCTAAGTTTAATTTATACCCCTGAGTATTTGTGTGAGAGCATGTTGCTAGGATTTTTTTTCCAAAAATTTGATTATGATATGTTTATTCACTGTCTCTTCCAAGTGTCTGGGGAGTGCTAAAGCAAAAATGCGGTCTCTGGCATAATACAAAGTATGTGATGGATAGAGTTTTCTGAGGTTCTCCAAATGTATTCCAGTGACTGTAGCTGTAATGGCCAGGTGATTACAGGAGACAGGAGGAAACGTCAGCAGTGAGGTGGAGCTAATCACTAGAAATACGACAAAAATTCTCATTTTTGCATTTGCATATTTATACCACTTCGTTGACTGTTGGTCACAGACCAGAATGTGTCTTCTCCCCCAAAGCTGCCTAATAGATAGTATGTGTTTGCCAGAAGGAGCTGAATGAATTATGAAGTAACACATGGCTGCTTAGTGTCCCTTTAAGCTTTTATTGTAGCCCTGAGGGTGTCACTTCGAACAGTCGTTGACATTTGCAAAAATCTTCAGGTCTGTTTCTGTATAAATGCTGCTATTCCTTAACCAGCTAAGGAAATAATTAGATTTCTTTGGTAGCAAGAGAAATTCCTCTAGACAAATTCACAAAGTCTCCATGTCCAATGAAATGACATGTGTTTTGGTTGACCAGTGTCTAGCAAAAAGAGAAGTAGGTGTTTTTCATTGTTGTACAACTGGCAATTCTAATTTGAGACTTCTCTGAAGTGATGTTTTTGGTCAACTGAACATTGACATTGCCATTTAAAAGAAGAGCGAATAAGCAGTTAGTATGTTCAACCCAGGAGGAGCTGATCTTATTGCCTTAATACTGTTTAAACTTCTGGTGACCTAGTATTGAAAATGTTTTCTACATTGTATTTTCTTCAGGTCCACCCTCACCTACTAAAACTGGCAAAGGGGTGAGTATTAGTGATGTATGTAAATTTGTTTCTGATGGAGAATGTTTTGGTTACAAAACAGACTCATAAATATGGTCTACTTAAACTCAAAGGAATCTTTGTGTTGAGTTGTTTAATGGTGGTGGTAGTTGTTTCTCTTCTTACTACTAAAGAATCAAGAATGCAGCAAAGATCTTGTATGATGATGGGTGTAGTCTTGTTGATTTGTCATGATTTTAAATGTGACATTGGCACTTAAGTTCTGTCATTATTTCCTTTTTTTGCACTATACTTGAAATTGCTGTCTGTGTGCACACTTCGACCTGCTTTTGTAATGTCATCTCTGGGTTTTAGTCCCTGTGGTAAATCTGCAAGATGATTTAGCAAAACCATGTCTACCCTGCTGGCACAAATTCATTGTCTTAAGTAACTGCTGTCAGAATATCCCTTAAAAGGGAAACAAAATACAGTATCTGTGTGTTTTTTTTTTTCATTGCCAATTACCTGTATTAAAGTGAAATGGGATTTCTAAAGGAAGTTTATGCTACTTTGATATTTCTCAATCCTCACATAGAATTAATGGACTGGTTAATATCCCCTTCTTAAAATGTTTGCTTATCTTTGAATCCATATTTTCCAGAAGTCTCTATGTAGTGGTACATTTCTAGTTTGATACTTGTTCTTGGAAGTTTGATCTGTTGTGGTATCTTTATTATATATTAGCTCAGTAAAGAATCCTTAGGCTTAATAAAATACCCTCTGATTTTATAATGCTGATAGTAATGCATATTTTTGTCATGAGCACTTCTTTTATGTATGAGGCTAGTCAGTGACCAGAGCTGTTTCTTCAAAATGTTTCTTTCTTGTACAGAACAAATTATTTCATTTTTGCAAAACCCCATTATCAGGATGTAGATGTAGCTTCTCTTTATGTCTTTGTCCTGGTGTTTTGAGTATTGGAGTTATATCCCAGCAGTGGGATAATGCAAGCACACAAGTTCAGTGAGCTTAAACCAGAGTGCACTCAATAAGATTTGCAGATTCAGTTCCTTGCAATCATACAGCTGCCCACACTAAATAAACCAGTGCATAAATCTCTGCGGTTTGAGGACGCAAGCCTTGTCAGTGTGGCTCCTGTGTCAGTGCACACTGTGCAGGCATGCTAAAAATACTACAGACTCAGGGACTGGCGTTCTAGCACACGTGCAGTAGCAACTTCCCATGCAGCACTCAATGTTCAGTGGCATTAAGCAGCATGGCAAAATAATCCAGTTAAAAAGGGCAAGTTCTTATGTTTATAAACATGCAAGAAGTGTCAAACTGCTAAATCGCTTGGGGGGACGTTTCTTCCACTCTTAGTAAAAGGGCATATTTAAGTCTGTTCTGCCTGTGCTTTTGTTTAACATGCACAAGCACATGCAGACTACCAGTCCAGTTTTCCAGGTTGGGTTTTAGCCCAAAATAAGTATTTAGAGTTACTTTCGTGCATAATCAGTTGGAAATTAGGATGGGAGACCCACAAGGATGATTGGTGTTCGTTCTTCATGAAATACTAATAGGAGTGTTGCAGCTCTCAGATCTTAAAAGAAAAATGCAAATACTGAATGACTAATGCCTTACACTACCCAAGTGTATTCCTGCTGTTTGGTATTTACAATGCCATTGGGATACCTGCTGCAAACAAGCTGATGTTGAGCACACCTCAAGTGCTCTTGTTTGGATGCAGCTTGGCAGTGGGCAGGAGGCGATGCCCGTGGAACAGCTCGTGCCCGTGGTGGTGGTCTGCAGTCCAGAGCCTTGCAGGCGCCTGCCGAGGAATCGGTTTCTTCTCCAAAGATGACCAGTCCCGTATGCCCTGCTTGGTCTTGGGTGTTGGTAACCACCAGGAGATGGCTAGCTTTACTCATCTCTGAGCATCCGTCACTTCAAATCCCCTTTCCAAGCCCAGTCTTCAGCAGAAATCTGTGTCCTGTAAGGAAGACGTCAGTAGTCTGGTCAGATGCATACGTTGGAAAAGCTGCGTTGAGTTGTAATGTTATTCCCCTATTCCCTTGTTTTGCCCTGCATTTCACCTCTGCATGATGTTTATTGTCTTTGCGTGCACATGTACACAAACTCAGTTATCCCTTTGATTTAATATGGGTTTTGTGGGGTGGGGCCTTTTTCAGAAGGACAAGCAGGACAGTTCCAGTAGTTTGGAAGCTGTCGGTGATCCCATCCCGCAGCCAATGCCATTTCCACCCGCTGCTGTACGACCAGGCTCTCCTAAGCTAGATCCTTCAGAAGTCTACCTGAAGTCTAAGACTATATATGAGGACAAACGTGAGTATATCAACTTGAACTCAGAAATATTAAATTACAAAAGAATCTTTTCTTTGTCGTATGCGTGGTAAAACTACTGTGACTTTTGTATTGAGTTTGTTAACCTCCTGTAGATAAAACATTTCAATAAATGCATAATTCATACAGAAATTAGGAAACTGTGGAACTCCTTTTAAAAAAAAGATACAATATGCTTCAACCATATTTAACAATAAAACAGTTAATCATAGAAATGGTCTCAAGGATGATCTAGTTCTGAAGTAAACTGAAACAGACCTGACTATGTCAGAGTTTACAGAAGGTAGCTCTGAGTTGTATTACAGACCGGATTTTATCCTGGCCCACCATGTAATTTCTGTGATTTCTCCTTTGGCATTCGTCAATCTATCCTTTCCTTTTTCAGCCTTTTCTTGAAAATGTATTTTTCTGTTTTGGAAAGAAACCATCACTGAAGATTTGACTGTTTGAATTATTTACTGTATTCCTGGTTACTGTGTTCTGCTGATAAGAAGAGTCAGAATGCACCATAAAAGCATAATCTTTCAATAATCAAGGAAAGCTCCTTACAGGTTTTGAAATGTCGCTTTGTCTTAGCTCCAAACACAAGAGATTTGGATGTTTTCCTGCGAAAACAAGAGTCAGGCTTTGGATTCCGGGTGCTTGGAGGGGATGGACCAGATCAGCCTGTAAGTGAAACAATTTACGGTTGCCTACGTGTTATCTTGCATTATTACTGTTAGCATGACTCCTACTCTGTCATCCTCATTTCTCTCTCATTCTGAACAGTTCAGTGATGGCAAAATTGATCAATTCAGTAACTGCCTTTTAAAGATCAATAATTGATTCAGACTACCTTTCTTTTTTATCCTCTTCATGGATGACTCTAATCTGCCAGGCTCCCATGTCCTTTCTGCTATCTAGAGTCTGTCTTTGGCAGCAGTTTTCTCTGTCAGGTTGATAATACTGATGGTGTTTCTGTAGTTGCTGCGTCTTGGGAGCACTTGAAAGGGCAGCGCTGGTGCTCAGCCTTTGCCCATTTCCATCTGATCCTGATGGTGGTCTTGGCACAAAATGTGCCCTGGTAATGCTCAGTGTGCCACGCACATCGGTGCATCCCGGGGAGCAGATGAGTGGAAGGAAGCTGTTGCTTACCCTGCAAGAACTCTGTCAGGCCATTCTTTTGAATGCAGCCCAGTGAAACGGGGCAAGATCTGGGATTGTGTCACACCCCTTTTCCCCCACTTCTCCCACCAAATTTTCAAAAATGCATTTTGTTCTGTCAGTCAGTGTGGTTTCTGGTGGATTCATCTTGAGGAGACAAGCACAGCCTTTCCAGTGCATTCTTTCAGGCTTTTATTTGCTTTGTGTTTTTCCCTCTCATCTCGGAATCCCAAGACGAAATGTCGTACTTCAGGATTTTCATGAAAGGCTTGAAGCAGAACCTGTTAAGTCTGGCTTCCTTCTGCAAATGGATGTTGGTGGTGCTTTGCATTGTAACTGGCATAAAAATGTAGCTCTGATATTTGGGCAGGAGGAAGAATACTAGTTAGAGCCTGGTTTGCTTTAACGTGGTCAGTGGCTAGAGTTCAGTTATCATTTTAAGTCGTCAATGTAGTCATGTTTCCTGGCCTCCAGCTGCAGAGCTGTTGCAGTTGGACTTGGATGACTCTCTGCCTGAGAGCTGATTGCCAAGGAATAGCGGAGTTGGAGGCAGAGGGGCAAATGCCAGTGTGGAAACCGCGGGGTAGTCTGTTCCAGTGATGGCAGGCTTTAGGAAACCTCCTCTATTTCCAAAAATGCAAGCATTTCTCTCTGGGAGGAAATGCTGTGTTTTGTACCATATGTTAAGGGCTGTTCCTTCAGCTATCGAGTTAAGAGGAAAAGCTTTTGGAGTAGATACTCATAGATTGCTTTTTGAGCACAGTTAAGGAATACGTTTGTTTCCATTCACAGCTGTGATCCAGTGCTAGCCCTTTTTAATCCTAACATGCATTTAAAGAAAAGGAAGAGCAAAACAAAACAATCTTACTTCTGTTGTGCTTCATAGCATTTGTGGTGTTTTCTTTCCATAACAGCCATAGCTGTTGGTAAGTGTCATCATGAATGCTGTGTGCAGGTGATTTGCCCTTCATTGCTTAACCTCCAACAACTACTGGACATAATTATTCTTAATCTTTCATTTAACCTGAATGTGATTCCAGCATATGAAATAGTGTGTGGTATTCTTATCTGTGTTATATTTAGTAGTGCTTTCTGAGGTGGGGTGGACTGAGTTGATAAGGGGAGTGCAGGTGTTGGGATTCATTATCTAATCACCAAAAGCTGTGCACTGAAAAACCTTGAAGCATGGAACTCGCTACTTTTCAGCAGTAAATTTGGGTTCTTTTGAAAGCTTTTACTACTTCCCCAGTGACTCTGGGGAGGCCTTGGTAAAAGAAATAAAATAAATGGAATAAATGACAGAGGGTTTTGTTTCAATAATGTCTGAGAAATCATACATATGTAATATGGACACTGTATACTTATGTCAAAAGTTGGGCTTTTTAACAAACTGACAAATATGCTCAGGTGATAGTGATGCTTCCAGAATTGATGGAAATAAGAATCAAAATTCCCCCAAACTTTGTGTATTTACTAAATACTTTGAGCCCCTAAATTGTATCCAATGAGTCAGCTTGTGCAAAGTACAATCACTGATTGTGGTGTTGCTAGAATTGGACAGTCACATAATCTTTAAAAATATCTTCCCCAAAGCCCTTATCTGTCTGGATTCCAACCATTATCATGTTCTGATGAGTTCATGTTCTGCCATTCAAACACCCAACTCTGCTCTGCTGACAGATTTATATTGGAGCCATAATCCCCTTGGGAGCAGCAGAAAAAGACGGCAGGCTTCGAGCTGCAGATGAGCTGATGTGTATCGATGGAGTCCCTGTCAAAGGGAAGTCGCACAAACAAGTTTTGGACTTAATGACCAGTGCTGCACGGAATGGTCAGGTGCTGCTCACAGTCCGGAGGAAGATCTTCTTTGGTGGTACGTGTCTGTCTGTCCAGAGAGGGTACTGCAGGACACATGTCTGGCTAAAGGAACACTTACATTTTTGTAATCAAATCAACTAACGCTCCTTTGAAACTTATCAATTGCACTAGAGCTGAGCAGCCCAAGGTTCAGGAGGGTCAGCTGTAATTCTGAGTAAGGGGAGAAAAGCAGAATTTAGTAAGCCTGATGGTTTGGTGCTTGCTAGTTCGCACTGCTTGCACAGGTAAGGCTCTGAAAATTATGATGGCAGTGGTGTTTTCTTCAAACCTTTTTGCAGATATTAGTTAGAACAGCCACTAATGCTATGCAAATCGACTAATAACACAATCTCTTTTCTGTACAACATGCTGTATTCTCAAGTCTTTTGGCATCTATTTGTCGCAAGGATAAGTGCATTCAAACAAGAGATGATTCAGGGCAGCATCTTGTGATTCTGTAGCTTAGATCAGTGTCCAGATCAACAAGTGTACAGGAGATTATTGTCCTTGACTCAATGTGCTGACATGGGAATGGGGTTCAGCAGAACTCATAACAGTCCCCAGTTCTGATTAGCAACCAGTATTGCTTTTCCATTGCATTATTCAACCATTAATTCTGAGTATATACAAGTAAAAGGAAAGAATATTTTTAAGATCAATTATCAATTTCTTTAAGATGCCTTCTGATAGATAGACTACTTCAGGACCAAAATTTTGTAGGTTTCCTAAAAGAAAGCCTGGCTTAAGTCTTCAAACGGCCTTTTAAAAAACGATTCCATTGTTCCAAGTAAACAGTTGTTCCCCACTTAAGATAGCAAGAGCTGTGGTTTGTAGCTGGATCTCTGCCATAGATCTTGTACTTGTAGCATGCAGAAAAGCCATGATGGTTTTTTTTTTACTATAAAAAGGCATCAAATCACCCTGACAAAGTGTGTACACACTGCTAAGTCTGTTCGGCTGTGTGCGACCAGGGTGCAGCAGGCTTTCCTTGCATAACTGAGCACACCGGTGTAGGACTCTGGGCCTTTGAATGCTTTATCCTGCATCTGATTTCTGTTTTATACAAATTGTATTGTTAATAAAGTCACCCCTTACTTTCCCAGACAGACAGTGTTTCCTCATGCTGGCACTGATACTGAGATGTACAGTTTTGCTGTAGCTGCTTGGTGAAACAGCACTATTGTTTTTTCCTTATTTGTTGTTTGTCTGTTACCTGCAAGGGGAAAAGCAACCAGAGGAGGAGGAGTCACAGCCTGTCTTGATGCAAAATGGCTCTCCCCGACTGAATCGGGTAGAGTTTGCAAACCAGCAGTCCCCAGAGGTCTATGATGTCCGTCTGCAGCGGAAGGAGAATGAAGGATTTGGCTTCGTCATCCTCACCTCAAAGAGCAAGCCTCCTCCTGGTGGTAAGTGCCATGTTCTGGTGGTGTTGTCGCTGCCTGGCCTCGCTGCGTGATGCTTCTATCAAAGCTGCTGCTGGTGTTAGCAGGCACGAGCAGGCCTGCAGCTTCTTCAAGGACTTCTCTTCTGTTAATGTGCTGGTGTTACCTACACAGCACTCTGCGTAGATAGTTGCCTTTCAATCACACTATTTCACAGCCCAAGCCAAGAGAGCTTGGTCTGTCTTCATGTTTATGTTCTCTTTCACCCAGCTGTGACATAAGTGAGGAGCAGGGGGAAAGTGTACCACACGCGACCAGCCCGTACACAGGAGTGTGCACTTGTCACAGGGCAGTCTTCTGGATGTGGATAGTCATCAGGCTGTGGGTGATGTAGATTCTCACACTGCATTAATTCATAGGCATTTTAATGAAAGTATAGTTTCAACCTTGGCTTTATATTACCTAATAAGGTAGAATTTCTTATTTTGGGGATCTGAGAAAGTAGAGGATGCAGTACTTCGAAGAAAGCAATGAAGTTGTTACTGTCAGACAGATAGGGTGTTTGTCTAGGAAGATCATCAAAATGAAAAAGTAGCATGCTCTGGTATTACAGTTCTGAGATATGGACATGGCTTCAGGCATAGTTGTAAAGATAAACAGCAAAATAACCAAGGTTAAAAGCAAAAATAAAAAGAAATATTGTGAGCGGAAGTGACTGAGAGAAGCTGCTTGCAGGAAGCACTGGGGTCCACCTCGATTAATGGAAAGGTGCATGACCCCCTGCACAGGAGCAGGTCAGCTCAGTGTGACCAAGTACGTTGGTATTCCTGGTGGCTGCTACTTACGTAGGAGCGCCAGGTAGAGGTTACTGAGTATTTTTTGCATGAGGTGGCGAGTAGGATCATCTTTCTGATATTCATTCCCTTTGGCCATCAGGTTTGTGTTATCAGTGTCAGTCCTCAAAATACAAGCCCAGCTCAGTGTGTTCACCCACAAATGAACTCAATTCACTGACATTAAGGTACAGATAACTCCTGAAATCCTTACTCAGTTCTGTTAGTTCCTTAGTGTAAATTGCCCTCCTGAAACTTCCTGAACTGGTTCCAGACAGACATAATGACGGCTTGAAAGTGTGTCACTTTTTTATTGAGCCTCAGACACTTTCTTCTGTTTTTCCACTTCATTTTACTGCACAATAAAAAAACAGCAGGAGCGCAGAAAAAAACTGTTTCTAAATAACATTGTGCTGAATTCATACGATATATATTTAGAGTGTGATGCAGTCTTGGCTCAGATGGTACCTTTTCAAGAATGTTAAAGCCAGCTGCGCTGGAAGCGCCTGGCGCGGTGGGACGGTGCAGCGGCAGTAGCCCACGCACAGAGCTGCCCACTGCTGTTGGGTTTCTGTGGCAACAGCAGGGCGAGCTGTCACCCGCTGGTGCATGATGCTGTGCAGATGATTGTGTACCGCATCAGAGTGGCTGTGGGTTGACTGTGTTTTCTAGTCAGTCAGATATTAAGAAGAAAATATTGTAAACATAATTATTCTGTAATGTATTGGTATTCTGTTATAATTTAACTGTACTACAGACATGTTTGTCTGAGAATCTGCTGCAAATCCCTCTTTATTTGATCTTTTCAGATCTAATAGATCTGAAAGTAGAAGACAACTGAAACCAGTTCCAGTGCTGGAAACATAAACCTTGTGGTCCAGGCTGTTTCTAACAGGAAAAGACAGACGCTGGTGCATCCACGGGCTGTGCTGTGCAGAACTTTTCTGTGCCACATTTTAACATGAAGCTACTGTGTTCTTCTAAAGCTACGATATTTTAAAACAAGTAATCAGCAATTGAGTCTGTAACCCTGCAGTGCTTTATTCTTCACAGTTGGCTCTTAGTTTTATATAATGCTTAAAAAACCAGTCTATTAAGGGAAGTGTAATTAAAATTTAAACTCATGGTAAACGCTAGAAGGCATCAATGTCTGTTCCTTTGCAGTAACTTCCGTGTGTGCTAGCTCATTAAAACAATCCTTGATCGCTTTTTAATCTTGGGTGGCTGATGACACTGTGAAGGTGTTTCAGGTTTGCTGTCATGGTTTTGAAAAGCCAGCTGGCAATCCTGACAGGTGCATAATGTTCTGCACCTCTCCTATCCCTCAGAGAAGAGTATGTTTGGGAGAGCAGCAGCTACAGAAAACAGATACCCATCAAACCCACTTCAGGTTTTGGGGATGCAAACAGGCTTTTACATGAAGTACCAGCAAGATCATTTATGAAACATGTGGGGGTCAGTCTGGAGAGGTGTTTGGAAATGAGTTACAAAGGAGTAGTACAGCGGTTCCTGCACAGAAGAGCCCAGATAGGGGATTTTGGAAAGGACAGGAGGCAATTTTGCTATGCTTTCAGGCATCCAGGTGAATGAAAGGCAGTTTTAGATGCATGGGAAAGCATGCTGACTGATGTGCTGTGATGTAACACGAATCTGCTCTGTCGGGGCCATGTCAGCACGCAGGTAGTTCAATGAGCTGCTCTTCTGCCCCAGGTTTTGGTAGGTTTCTCCCATCACAATGGCATCTTGCTGGCTGCCGATTGCCATCTGCAGTGCTGATGTTCGGGTCAGCAAACCGTAAAACAAGATCTCTCCCTGAGCACCAGCTCGGCGGGGAGAGCGCGGGAGCCGCTGGGGCCGTGGCAGTGCTCTCCCACGGGACAGGGACTGGAGGAAGCACCGTGCTGGAGTGGAGCATTGCTCCCTCCTGGTGCCTTTTTAGTTCTGCTTGTTCCTCCGTCTGTGTTCACCTCTGGGAAAGTAACTAAAAGCAGTCTTTTTTTCCTTCTACTTGCAAAATTCACTCTTCCCTGTTCTGTCTTTTCTGGACCCGTTGCTTTGGCCTCTAGAAGAGTCTGTATACAGAGCAGAGTTCATGAACTGAGGAAGCCAAGCCAGGAGAGCTAGCTAAAATTCAGGATGATTATTACAGGTGCAAGTTCATCTCAGAGCAGGAATAGGGAATGGGTTTGTGCAGATCTGCTCTAGCACACCTTGCTTTGTTGCCTGGGTGTGCCGAGGGTTGCTGCTGAGGTGCTCACCAGGTTACTAAGTCAGTCTCTGGCAGGAGAAGTTTGATTTCCTTTTGAAGTGTATTTTAGGCTTAATTTTTGGTTGCAAGGAGGAAGAGTTAACCCATGAACCCAGGTTTCTAATGACTCTGTTAAAATGGATGTCCATAACTGTCTCTTGAGTCCATACAGTGCTCCAGGGTCTATGCGTGAAATGGAAAACAATACATTGAGTGGCAAAACAAACTGCTTCAGAGAGCTCTTGGGACACATGCTCATCCCTTTGCAGATGTGATCCATTTCCTTCCCATGTTTTCCTTTAGGCACAACACCTTGTATGTGACAGGCTGTGCTGTCAGGGGTTGGCGTTCCCATTTTTTCATTATTTGCAGGTTTTTCTTGTACT